TCTCTTCCCCTTATCCTTTCCTTTATCCAGTCTCTCTCTCTTTCCTCCCTTCTTCCCCCTTCTCCAACCTCTCTCTCTCACCTCTCCCTTCTCCCTCCTTTCTTAAGGACTTCCTTCTTCCTCATCTCTCTTTCCTCTTCTCCAATATCTCTCTCTTCTTCCTTCCCCCTTCTCTAACCTCTCTCTTTCCCCTCCCTCCCTTTCTCTCTCTTCTATTTTCCTCCTCCAACCTCTCTCTCTCTCTCTTCATTCCCCCATCTTCCTCCTCTCTCTATTCTTTCTTCCTGTCCAACCTCTCTCTCTCCACTCCCTCCTTTCACTTCTCCTTCCTCTCTCTTCTTTCTTCCTCCCCCCTCTTTCCCTCCTCTATCTTCTTTCTTCCTCTCCTCTCCCTCCTTCCCCTTCTCCCTCCTCTCTCTTCTTTTTTTAAAGACTTCCTTCTTCCTCCTCTCTCTCACTCCCTCCCCTCCCTCTTCTCTCTCGAACACTTGCTTATCCTCCTAGTGGTCTGATCTCCTCATCTCCTAACAGCGGAAGTTGGTCTGGTCATTTTTCCTTGTTGAGGTGTCTGGGAAGTTAGAGAAGTTTGTACCTTTTTGCCCGGTTCTTTGCTCCCTTGTTGTCTCTCGCTCTCTTTCTCTCTCTCTTAGTTCTGCTCTCTGCATCAGCCTGATTCTCTCTTTTTATTCTTCCTTCAAGTTTTTTTTTTTTATCTCTGTCTGGCTTTCACTCTCCCTTCCTCTCTCATCCTCCCTCCCTTTCTTGCGTTATGTCACATCCTCCTTACTTTCTCGTATTCTTTGCCCCTTTTCTTTTTTCTCATTCTTTCTCCACTCATCTTTCTCTACACATATCCCAAAGTCATCCCTCATGTGCGTCGTTACGATTTCAGCCACTTCCCCGCCCACTAATTACATAAGAAAAATACATACATTACACATACTTTATTTCCCCAATATTTACTAGATTGATTATATTTGATCTCATAAATTTTAAGTTACGACTATATAATGCAACAGAAATTTTTGTTGGAAAAACGAATATAATATTGATATTACTGATGACTAAGTTGATGTCCCTCATCTCACTCTTTTCCTCTACTAAAGCTTCGAAAAAAAATCCACTTATAATCAGCCTTAAGTCACCAATAAGCTTTGAATATTTTTATTCTCAGTACATTAACCTAACACTTGAAACATACCTTTCAATGAATAGATTTACGCAATTCCTCAGAATAACATGAGTAATGATGGTGTAGTCGTTAGCAAACCCCTTTACCATGAAAACAGAGGGCGATGAACGTTATTAGGCCGTATTATCTTGCTAAATGAAAACCATTGTCGTTCTTGTCATTATCTTTTATTAGAAAAAAAGAAGAAAGTACGTTCACTGCATATAATTTATTTATATTCTAGTCATATTTTATTCTGATTAAACATCATATCTGTCATTCCACTGCTGCTGCCCGCCTTCTATCTTATTATATAAGCACCTTATCTGACCACATCCGTTATGGTAAGCTAGTAATTATATTTCTCTTGTTGGGAGAATAGCTGCAGAAAGGCTTTTGTTACACCCTGTCAAAATATTCCTTGAATCACTTTATATTCTTTTTTTTTCTATCTGTCACCTATGTTTAGGTCTTGTGCTAAAAGAGGCTCTATACATTTTATTGTGAGTTGCTATACCTCCTTATTACATTTCTTCGCTTCCGACACGGGTAAATTTAGCGTCATATCTTACCAGCCTTTTGTTTTCCACATCTCTTTTTTTGTTCCAACTGCCCCTAGCCGTCGCGCCCTCCATGTCGTGACGTCCTTCTATTTTAGGTATCCGAGTCTCATCTTGTTTATCATTATTTTTGTGTGGCACTCACTTTGCATCCGCCTTGCCCTCATGCTGTTCACGTGCTGATGACTGTGCGTTTGGGTGTCTGCGACAGAGATAAATGGAGAAGGAGAGGGAGGGAGGCAAACAGAAGGGGATGGGAAGTGGAAGGGTGAAGCAAAGAAAAGGGGAAGGGAACTGGAAGGGTGAAGCAATGGAGGAGAGAGAGAGAGAGAGAGAGAGAGAGAGAGAGAGAGAGAGAGAGAGAGAGAGAGAGAGAGAGAGAGAGAGAGAGAGAGAGAGAGAGAGAGAGAAGAAAGACAGAGAGAGAGAGAAGAAAGACAGAGAGAGAGACAAGGGAAGAGAGAGAGAGAGAGAGAGAGAGAGAGAGAGAGAGAGAGAGAGAGAGAGAGAGAGAGAGAGAGAGAGAGAGAGAGAGAGAGAGAGAGAGAGAACGAGAAAGACAGAAAAAGAAAGACAGACAGGGAGAGAGAACGAGAAAGAGAGAGAGAGAGAGAAAGAAAGACAGAGAGAGATCGACTTAAAATCAGATACCCAGACTTAAAAAAAAACAAAAAAACAAAAAACAAGATTAGAGGGACAAGAATCCAAAGAGAAAAGCAAGAGAGGAATAGAAAAAATAAAATAGAAAAGGGACCAAGAGGGGAGAGAGAAGCACACAACCACAAATGACTCTTAATCTTCACGTCCGTTCACTAGATTCACGGTCGTCAGTATGTGTGTGTTGCCAGGCGAGAGGGAGGGAGGGAGGGAGGGAGAGGGAGAAATAGAGGGAAAGGGAGAGGAAGGGAGGGAGGGAGGGAGGCAGGGAGAGAGGAAGAGAGAGAGGAAGGGAGGGAGGGAGGGAGAGGAAGGGAGGGAGGGAGAGGGAGAGGAAGGGAGGAAGGAAGGGAGAGAGAGGGAGGAAGGGAGGGAGAGGGAGGGAGAGGGAGAGGGAGAGGAAGGGAGGGAGGGAGGGAGGAAGAGAGAGAGGAAGGGAGGGAGGGAGGGAGAGGGAGAGGAAGGGAGGGAGGGAGGGAGGGAGAGGGAGTGGAAGGAAGGGAGGGAGGGAGGGAGAGGAAGGGAGGGAGGAAGAGAGATAGTAAGGTAGGAAGGGAGGGAGAGGGAGAGGAAGGGAAGGAGGGAGGGAGGAAGAGAGAGAGGAAGGGACGGAGGGAGGGAGGAAGAGAGAAAAGAAGGGAGGGAGGAAGAAAGAGAGGAAGGGAGGGAGATAGGGAAAGGGAGAGGGAGAGGAAGGGATGGAGGGAGAAAGAGAGGGAGAGGGAGAGGTAGAAGAAGGGAGGAAGAGAGAGAGGAAGGGATGGAGGGAGAGGGAGAGGGAGAGGAAGAGAGAGAGGAAGGGATGGAGGGAGAGGGAGAGGGAGAGGAAGAGAGAGAGGAAGGGAGGGAGGAAGGGAGGGATGGAGGGAGGGAGGGGCACAATAAGATGGAACAGGGGGAGGGAGGATTGGGAAAGGGTGGTAAGGGAGAGAGAGCCAGGGTCGGAGGGAGTAGGAGGTGGTAGGGGGGAGTGGGAGGTGGTAGGGAGTAGGGAGTGGGAGAGGAAGCCAGGGAGGTAGGGAGTGGGAGAGAGAGGTAGGGAGGAGGGAGTGGAAGAGGGAAAAGGAAGAAACAGATGAGAGAAAAGAGGAAAGAGAGGATCGTGTCTATAAAACATAATAGGGAGGTAAAGGAAAGGGAGAAGTGGGATGAAAGGAAGAGAAGAGAGGAGGGGAGAGGAGGAGAAGAGAGGAGGGGAGAGGAAGAGAAGAGAGAAAAGGAGAAGAAGAGAGAAATAGAGAGGAAGAGAAAAGAGAGAAAGGGAGAGGAAGAGAAAAGAGAGAAAGGGAGAGGAAGAGAAGAGAGAAATGGAGAGGGAGAGAAAAGAGAGAAAGGGAAAGGAAGAGAAGAGAGAAATGGAAAGGAAGAGGAGAGAGAGAAAGGGAGAGGAAGAGAAAAGAGAGAAAAGGAGAGGAAGAGAAGAGGGGAGAGGAGCCTGTGGGAGAGATGCCCGTAGGACCGGATGGGGGAAAGGGGGGGAGGGGGCGTATGACGTCAATAAGCTTTGGCTGAAACTTCATGATGGATTGATGATGTTGGTACTTCACTTTTACCCCCTCTCCCCCCCTTCCCTTCTCTCCCCCTCTCCCACTCTTCTCTTCTCTTCCTCTCATCTCCCTCTCTTACCTTCCCTCCTTACCTCTTCTTCCCTCATCCCTTTCATTATTTTCTTTTCCCTTCACTCCTCTTATTCTCGTCTTCCCCTCTCATTCTTCTCCTTCCATCCCTCTTATCATTTTCTCCCCTCTTTTATCTCCTTTTTCTCCTCTCCCCTCATTCCTCTCATTATTCTTCCCCCCTTCCCTCTTCCCCTTTCATTCTTCTATTTCCTCACCCCTTATTCTTCTCTTGCCCTTTTATTCATTCTATTCCTTCACCTCTCTCCTGCTTCTCCTCTCCCCTCAACCCTCTCATTCTTTTCTTCCTTCCCCTCTCCCCTCATTCCTTTTATCCTGCCGTCTTTCATCATCCTCTCCCCTCTCCTTCAAGTGCATTACATACAAGAGAGTAAACATTCATTGTTATTTTTTTTCTCAAATTCAAAATTCTATTTATATCTACGTCTGCCTACCAATATAGTCCAGAAAACTATACGTATCATCTCTATCTCTCTATCTATCTCTTATCTGTGCTGTTGTCTATCCTTTTCTTTATAACTTTTTTTTCTAGGTTATACATTTATTTCTGTTTATCTAGCTCCTTTATTTTTATTAACACGTATGTATGGATACAAGGTACAACGGCTCGAAATGTACCATTGTCTCTCAGTCGGCAAACAGAATTGTAAAAGAGAGACAGTGAGATGTAGACGGATATAAAAAAATAGAATAAAAACTACGGTCTGGCAACTCATGGACACCCGCGGGTTGCCCATCCCGAAAAATGAAACAGCAGACAAAACGGCGCATTAAATCGCTGCGTTCTGCAAAGTAATCCAGTTCAATAACTCTTCCGAAATACATTTCTTTTTTACCCTCTCCTTATCACGTCTCAGCCAGTGGGGGTGGATGTAGGTTGTTTCCATTTCAAAATGTATGAATTAAAAAAAAAACGAAATGAATAAAAAGAAGCGAGGAAAATGTAGTTTGAAAGATGAAACCTGTCTGGGTGAA